CGTTTCATAAGGAAGCATCTAGAGTTTCACGGTACGCAATGAAATACGCCTGCAGCAGCATATTTGCGATTCACGTTTCTCAATGCTACGTAAAGGCCACCTAAAGTCGCCGGCTGATTTTGTCGCGAATGCACACCTGGCCAAAACGCAGGAGATGCGCCGAAAGCAAGCAGAAAAGACAGAAATCAATCATGTGTCAGGGAGATGAGTTTTTATGTGGCTAAGAATCAATCTTACGAATCGATGAGTGACGGACCGAACGAAAAAACACAACGACGACAGACGACGAAAAGCTCTCCTGACGGGGACAGGATGACAGAAGGCATGGCATGGCGCAGCTGCAGAATGGCAGCGTCTTGCGCATGGAGGTCGGTGCGTGAGTTTCGTTCAAGGACGATGACGGTGACGAGACGATGGTCGCAAGACAAGCCGTGTACACCACCGGTGAGTGGCATCGGCAGCATAAGCGAGATTTGACGATGGACAGAGGTCGGGTCGACTTTCGACCATCGAAGCTCTTCATCAAATCACGGAAAACTGGTGCTCGGCACGAACGCCGTGCAGAACAGGCAAGAACCAGAGGCCAGAGCAACATGTCGGAGTGAAATGAGAGGGTACGTCTTTTTTGCGCTGACGCAACAGCTGGCAGGGTCATCTGTGATCGCCGAGAAGGCAGGCTACCGAAGCCATGGAGACTCCGGGTAGCATAGTTGATCAACTGCGTAGTCTAACAATAAGGACTGAATTTGACCCTCGGTGCTAATGTCCTTTCGAGTCAGTCCCGTTCGCTGTTCAACATAACAGTACAATTAATGAACGATGCAGAAAGTACATAAAAGAGTAGCTGCCTCAACCAGCCACTGGTGCATGGGTATTTTGCTGAAAGTGTCTGCCAGAAATTTTCCAAGCATGTTGCACAAGATTTACCTGTATGCGAAGGCGAATTTACTTAAGGTATTGCGAACACCCTGAAGCCCTGCGTCGATTCTTCAACAATCAACTAACATAGTAGTAGTACCAAGAAAAGACGAAATCTTTCATCATGCATTAGATGACCATTGGGTTTAAGAACATGTCGATTCTACCGTATTGCATAAGAAATGGATTTAGGCAAACATGCGCATTGAATCATGAAAGAAATTCTCTATGTTTTTTTAAACAACGAATAATGGTACTTGAATAGAACCGATAGCCTAAAGCGTAAACTCTGTCCGAACCAGTATTAGCCCTGTCTAAAGGAAGGCAGAAATAATACGAGTGGTAACTCCAATTCTGATTCAAGCAACGTAATTTATTTGAATGATTAGTACAATTTACAGTGCAGAGCAACTTCCCAGGACGGCAACTTTGGTGCCATTCAATTATATCGATCTGCTTAAAAAACAATGAAAACAAACTAAATTTTGCCCATAACGGTCCCAGAGAGCAGTTACCGTATTTTCCCATCGATAACTAGCACGTTATGCAATGAAAAATAAAGTATTCCAAATTATTTCAATTTTTCTATGTACCCTTCTCATGTGTGGGTGGTGACTACGGAAACTCTTTTGATCCTTTTAAATTAACAGTCCTTGAAGAAGATTAAAGCAAACGGCATTTCGTCCATATTATTAAAATGTGCAGGTTCCATAGCACATAAAGTTTCCTTAACATAAAGTCTAAGTTTCTTTACTTTCGCTTCACAGCCATTGGGTGATTTTTGGCCAAAACTCGAAGATGAACGAATACACCAACTGTTTCTTTTCATAAATCTTAAAGCCCATGATGGGTATGCTTTGAAATGATCTATTTTGCTCTCTTCTGCAACCACTTCTGCCCTCAACAAGATACTAGTTTTTTGTACAACTTACGTCTCTAGATTTCTCTAAAAGAACCCACTCGAGAAGTGTTTTTACGAGCCCTGGCCGCAAGTATCTCCTGTACCTCAGTGCACGTTTCTTCTGGTGCTAAGCATTTAGGACTGCTTCTTCTTTCCTCAATTCCCAGACACTGGACCCTCCAATGTTAAATTTCCTGGCTGCCTCACGATTCCCTTTTCCTTTCGGGAAATTAACGGTTTCCAGCTTAAACATCGCTGAATAAGATTTTCTCAGCACAGTATTTTTTTACATGGGTAACTTACAACCTTAAAAGCTAAACACTTGCAAAATCCAGGTGTTCAAAGACCAGCAGCAATATGGTGATTCTTGCTAATTCTTCTGTATATATAGCCATAACCAATCATATTATTCCTTTATTCATATGTCCAAAATCTGCATTTTTTCAGACAAGCAATAGACTACACACTCTCTGTACATTTTCACGAGCAATAAATGTTACAAGGTGCGCGGTATCTGCTAGATGCGCGTCACCAATAGATTTTGACGAACATAAAGAAGGGTGTGCGACATTCATAAGGAGCGCGCTATCGATGGGAAAATACGGTAATTACCTAGGGAAGCATGTCAGCTCCTGACACATCGTTTGTAGTGAGCCGAAGGTGGCCTAAAGGGTGGTCCAACTGACAAACTGTTGCCACATACACCTCGCATTGCCAATGCTCAATTACTATGGAACCGCGAAGGGTATAAAAGCTCTCCCCTCAGACAACTAGGAGGAAGAGGGGGGGGGCAGTGCGATACGCCATGAAATATGCTCTTGAATCCGTTATGCATTATTTAACATACTCTCCTTACGAACATTTTTAATGTTTATGTATTGTTCCGTATGATCCTAAAATCGCATTTTCCAGCATTTAAAAAGCGAACAGATTATTGTTGATTATTGTTTGATGCAATAACCCTTATGGTGTGAAATGTTTATTCTTGGCTAGGGCAACAAAATTCAGTAACTGCACACTGCTTCAGAAATCTTCCAACCATCACAAGAAAAGAAAAAAAAACAAAAAATGGGCGAATACGCGCGCAAGTAAGGGTGGGTGATATTGAGGTAAAAACCTGAACATGCAAATGCACCCGATACGTCTTAAAAAGGTATGACCAATGGCGACAATAATGGCGCTTTAATGGACCTGAAACATAAAGAAGACCAAGAATAACGATACGTTTGCAAGGCTGAATCGCTACGTTTGCAGGTTTGTTAAGAATTGAGGATGTGCGAGATGGTGATCAGTGAATAGATGTTGAGAAGCCTCCTCATAGCAGCAAAGAGCAGAAATAAGTTGTAGCTAATAATGCTGATTATATCTATACATTTCTTGGATTCAAACAGAGCAAGTAATTTTTCCTTTCATATATGCCAGTCTCATCGCATTATGCAATCGACCTAATATGTCATTTCTCTTTACGCTAATTGATTGATGTTCTAAAGTGCATTAGCATAATTTAAGCCTCTGTTAAATTAAGTTTCAACTGGCACTTAAATTTTCAGCATGGGTTCATGGGATTAAAGCAAACTTTGTGGATGCTATACTGAAAATAGAATTTTCGTGGAAAGCTACGATTCACTAACCCGAATAACATGTTTTATTAGTTCACTCCATTACATTAGAGGTACCGTCAAACGGCAAGACATTTTGATAATGTTTCATCAATGAGTTAATCATCTGATCATTCAAACTATCAATAAAATTTAGCTCTTTAAACAATAGGGGCTGCCACAAGCATAAAAGGGTCTCATCACAGATTACCACTACCGCATTGCCAGAAACTCCAGTCGATACGGTTTGAAGTGAACGTTAAGCTTGCAAATACTGTGTTCAAGTACTGGAAAGTACTCAGACAGTGCCCACCGTGTTGACTAAGCAATAAGCAAAAGTAGATCATTTAGATCGATGGGTAGGTGGTCGGCGAACCGTTCAAAACGACCCTGTTTCTTCCAGTTCAAAGTTGGAAGACAAGGAGATAACGAATACGATATTCTCTATAACCCACGTCGATGTTCTTGTCCCTGAGAGTGAGTAAAAACCGATATGATTGGCGGTCAACGAGGCAGTAGTAACAGTGTCGACAGAGCTCCTTATGACTTTATAGAAAGTTCCGTTTGGGAGAAGGATGGCTGATCACAAACCTGGATAGAAGGACCTTGGCCTCCAGAAAGCACGACAAAAATTGCTTCTACGTTGCGCTGCCCACCTTGAGCAAATCATGACCACTCATGCTTACATTAATCGAAGAACCGAACGATGAAAAAATTAGTACCAAATGAGATTTTCCCACTGCTTGAATGGCCAAGACAAAAAAATCCAAAAAATCTGGATCACAGCCAGGACTACGCAAGGTAAAGCCTCGGAAGTCCGACAAGAACCAAGCTGTTCATGTAGTTATGAGACAACTGTATTGAAATATATATTTTAACAGCTACGGTCACCCTAAGAAGTTCTGACGAACACTGAAATTGTGACTCGAAAGGGCTTTATTCAAAACAGACGTCATTCGTCAAAAC